CCCCAAAACCCCAAAACCCCAAAACCCCAAAACCCCAGATCTCTTATGATGTGCTGAAAATTTTAATAAAATAAAATTAAGTAATATGTATAGCAACCGTGTTGAAACAAGCAAAGGGGATGACTTTAAAACGCTGTCTAGCCTATCAACTCTTAGAAATTATCTGAATCACACCAAAAGCAAGAAGAGTTGTGACTTTAATAAAGCTAAACAGTAATTGAAAAGTTTACCATTCTAGACAGAGGAAATAAAACTTATATTCCCTCTATTCCTGAAGCAGGTTCTGTGGTAAAGCAAAGAGTCAAATCACAGATGAAAACTGTGGATAACAGATGCAAGAATCAGCTCAATATATGTATCAATAGCGCTAACAATTTCTTTAGCTAAAGATCTAGACTTTTCTGAAATTATCCCTCAGAAAGGAGAAAAAGTGAACGATAAAGCCGGTAAAATAATTCCCACCAAGGACCAAAACATCAAATTCAAAATCAGCACCCATCTTAAGAGAAAACCACTAAAGCCTAAGCCAGGAAGAATCGGCCCTCCCAAGTCTGCAAAGTCAGCTCTGTATAATCCAAAACCCAGAGTATGTAAAACACTGTTAAAATACCTAACAACTAGTTCTCCCTTTCTCACTTCTCTCTCTAGCTGAACCTGCCGTCCAGTACAACTTTCTTCCCGACCATCACTGAACGGAAGGATAATAAATAATAACTTACCTATTCTCTCTTCTCTCCCTTCCTCTGCTCTCAATGCTCTCCCGAGTCGTAGACAGCAAATCGTCGAGAAGCATCTCAGGATGAAAGCTGAACAAGAAAAACTTAATTTCAAACCCAAACAAGACACTCTCAATGAGATAATCGATGATCTCCCTACTTCCTTCAACGGCTCAGACTTTCTCCCGCAAGACCTCTTCTGTACTAGCTTCGATTCCCTCTGCAAAGAAAACGTAGAACTTGAAGCCAATTTCGAAATTTCTGAAATCCTGAATTCTAATAGAAAACCAGCCAAAAAGAGAGAAATTAAAGTAAGCTCAGATTATATTGATGAATTTTAGAAGGATGAGATGGATAAGACTATTGGAATGACTGTTAGTGCAAGCGAAAAGCAGAAGGAGAAGATCAAAGTCATGTTAATAGTGTTCCAGGCTTATTGAATGATGAAGAGCAAGAATCCGTTTGATTTTAGAAGCCTTTTGAGGATTTGGAAGAATATGGAAAAGGGTCAAAATGAGTAGGTGTGAATTATTAGTTAAATACATTTTCAATATATGTTAAGAAATGGGGTTTTGGGGTTTTGGGGTTTTGGGGTTTTGGGGTTTTGGGG